GTTTCTGTTGGGATACTGAAAAAGTTCTGGAAAAAGACAGTGGTGACAGTTGTACAACAATGTGAATGTACTTAATACCACTGAATTATAACACACAAAAAGGACTAAAATGGTAAATCTTATGTTATATAAATTTTACCATAATGAAAACAAATATATACCTAGATATGGCCTGTTGGTACAAACACAAAGAATATTCTGTAATAAAGCTATAATTACATGGGCCTTACCTTAGTGGCTTTATGTATTCTCAGATAAGCAACACTAAATTTAGATAGAAAAATAATAAAAGTAGGTAACAGTCAATCAAATGCTGGTGGAAATACTTTCTATAAAGGACCTTTTTAAAAAACATATTTTTATTGATTTCAGAGAGGAAGGGAGAGAGAGAGGAAGAAACATAAACGATGAGAGAAAATCATTGATCAGCTGCCTCCTGCATGCCCCCCCGCCCCCCACTGGGGATCGAGCCCACAACCTGGGCATGCGCCCTGACCGGGAATTGAACCATGATCTCCTGGTTCATAGGTTGATGCTCAACCACTGAGCCACACCAGCCAGGGCAGGACCTGTCAACTTTATTAACCAAAATCAATAAGGAGGTAAAAATCAAATGACTAATCCTTCAATTTAAGTCAGCAACTGTCCAAAGCTCAAATGAAAGGGAAATATAAGCTAAAACTAAAAGGAGTTGTCCACAAGAAAAACAGATATTGTGATACAAATAATCTAGAATACCAATTCTTGAATAAAAACAGCCCTATCAACTTTACCATCTATATATATAAAAGGCTAATAGGCTAAGTGTCCCTCCAACCATCCAACCAGTCACTATGATGTGCACTGACCACCAGGGGGCAGACGCTCAACACAGGAGCTGTCATGATGCGAACTGGCCATTTACAAAGAAATGGCATTGAGGACCTGGCACCCACAAAGCAACACTCAGCTTCCCCCAAGTGGGACAGAAGCCCCACCACCACCCCAGAGCAACAGCCCACCAAATCGCAGCAAAACAAACACTGCCAAGACCCATGGTGCAAAATGTGGCCCCCAGCCCAGCTCAGACCAGAAACGGCTGCTGTGGGGGCCAGGTAATGACATCACGTAGCAACGCCCAGCTTCCTCTCCCTAGCGACTAGCCTCCTTGAAGTTTCTTCAGCCCAGGAAGATGACTTGCTTTATAGCCAGTGCCTCCAGAACAAAACTAAACTCTCTATTTTCAGACTGATCTAACTCTGGCTACTCAAGATGACCGTGGGGGACCTTATATATGGCTAAGTTGACTCGCGCATGAGCGATACATATAAAGCTCTCGCTGGTGCCAATCACACACATGTGTTTTGATCTGTCATTGTCCATCGTGAATTTGGTTGACACTTTTATTATAAAGAAAGGGCAAATAGTGATATTAAAATATTTCTTCTAATTAGTTTCCTTTCAATGTGCACGAAATCCATGCACCAGGCCTCTAGTCATAATATAAGGACATAGGGTTAAATTTAAAAAACCTGATGAGTTGATGGTTACATTTTTAAAAAACTATCATTAAAAAACCATTTAAGTACTTACATGAAGGTGACCCACAGAAGCTCTCTACTTAATCAACTGTCAGAAGTAAGTTAATGGGGGAGGGGGAACCCACTGACTTAAATTGATGCCTCAAGGTGATGAAAGCTTGTCACAACACACACACACAACTCAAATGTTGCTTCAAGGAAAATTTAGCAGATGATACCCAAGTCTAAAATGGCAAACAAGATGTACTGATAAACTTTACTAAAGACAGTATGGTTTGGGTTTGGCTTCCATGCAAAGGTCAGAAAATGACCGGGTGCAAGGTAAGAGAAAAATGCATCCATCAGTTATGTCATTTCACTACATCAGCACCCACCTTTCAGATTTGTTTTGACGAATACAACCTTCGATGATTTCTTTCACTTCAGGATCAGTGACTTTATTGAAACTGGCTGGTTTTATGCCCTGGGAGGAGAAAATGGTTTCTAGTTACAAATGAAGCAACTGAAAGCCCAAATCAACATGACTTTTATTACAATAATGGTTTTTACCCTAAACTATATTCAAGTTTTAAATGAGATAAATATATACATACAGTATGTCTTTAACAACTTTTTGACAGGGATTTTGTCCTCATTCTAGAGATAACAGTGAAGGCTGCAAATAATCTAAATCAACAATAATAGAGCCCAAATTGCATATTATGTAATATATATGTGCCAATATTATATAGAAATTAAAAATGTTCTCAAAGTAATTATTAACATGGGAAATTCTCATACTGTAACATTAAGTAAAAAAAAAAACAAGACCCCAAAACGTACAAATAATACTACCCCAATTAGCAAAATATAATAAACAAATATTTTTTGAAATCAGAAAATAATTCAATGTTATTAAAGAACACTTACGAAAATTCCTAAGAAGGACTGCTTTATTGCAAATATTCAAAATCAATATTATTTCAAAGTCCTCTAGAATGGCTAGGTGAAATAAACAATTAAATTGATGATTTGTTGGAGAAACTAGGTCATTTTGCCTATAGAACAGTGGTTCTCAACCTGTGGGTCGCAACCCCTTTGGGGGTCGAACAACCCTTTCACAGGGGTCGCCTAAGACCATCGAAAAAAAAACATATATGATTACATATTGTTTTTGTAATTAATCACTATGTTTTAATTATGTTCAATGTGTAACAATGAAAATACATCCTGCATATCAGATATTTACATGACAATTCATAACAGTAGCAAAACTATAGTTACGAAGCAGCAACGAAAATAATTTTATGGTTGGGGGTCCCCACCACATGAGGAACTGTATTAGGAAGGTTGAGAACCACTGCTCTAGAATATCCCATGTTCTGGACATTAGCCTATTTCCTTTTTTTAATTGACTTTTTCAGAGAGAGGAAAGGACTGAGAAACATTGATGTGAGAGAGAAACATCAATCAGTTGCCTCCTACACCCCCCCACACACTGGGGATTGATCTAGCAACCTGGGTATGTGCCCTGACCGGGAATGGAACCTGCCACCTTTTGGTGTATGGGATGATGCTCAAACGAACTGAGCTACCAGCAGGGCTGGCCTTATTTCTTATTGTCTATCTAACACAAGCCTCTGAAGTCAGACTTAGGGTCAAAATCCATTAGTACTAGCAATGTGAATGTGGATAAGTCACAATCTCTGATACTCAGTCTTATCATTTATAAACTGAAGATAGCACCCTCTTGTAGAGATATAAAGATGAAGGCATGTGGCATACAGCATACATTTAAAAACAGCACCTATTAGCATTAGTTCCTGGAAACAGTCTAACGATCGCCTTCCTGGCCTATCTTGAGTCACCTAATTGGATATGATGTAGACCTCTTTTGAACAATCCTAACATTTTGCTTCTACCTCCCTTATGTCCCTTACAATAAATACTCCCATGCACTTATTTGTATAATTATTTGTGAATTTATATCACTCTCCTGCTAAAAATGTAAGCTCTTTGTGGGTAACAGACACTTCTTATACATCTTTGCATTCCTTGCAATTTCTAAAATATTATTCATAGTAAGAATCAAACACTGTATCTGTTGAACTATATTTTGAATGCCCTTTCTTAATCAGGCTTTTAGCACTAAAAGAGACCCTCAAAACTATTTAGCCAATCTTTATTATTCAGGTTTGGAAAATAAGAACCATCTAATAAGTATCTAAAAATTCTTTACAAACAAATAGATATTGATGATATGTCTATGTTTTCCCAAGGATACTAATACAGAGCATTTTATATGACCCTAATAGAATATAGGTATACAACATATATCTAAAACTTGTTTCGTTACAATTATATTTAATTTAGCACTGCTATACAGAACTGAACCAAAATTAGGTTTTACTCAGTTTACTTAAACCAACTTCAACATGAAATATGGCAGTTTGTGAAGTAAAAAGAATAAAGTTATACCTACACTAGTTACTTTACGGTATATTTGAGCTGCATTTTGGCACTCAGAATAAGGGTACTCCGAAGTAGCCATTTCCAGCATACACATTCCAAAAGCATAGACATCTACAGATTCATCATAGTGCTCTTCATACATCTCTGGGGCCATAAACTCAGGAGTCCCTACAAGGTAATACCACAACCACACTTTTATTGAAAAGAAAAATGTATTCACAAAATTTACTTTCCCTTTTCCATAAGAATTACTTGAGTTAATTTGTGCTTCCTAAAAGAAATTTATAAATATAAAATTTGTTGAATACTTGCTATATCTATATAAAGCACTTAAAGAATTTCATTAACTTTCTGTTCTGATAAAGTACAATCTGTAATGCTCAAGATTAGGTCATGATCACTAAAATTTGTTTTTATTTCTATCCTTTTTAGTTATTAAAATTTTTCATAATTAAATTAGTAAATTAGCTTTCTTAAGTCCTTAGAAACTTTCAATAATTTAAAATATACCCCACAAAAGAAATACACTAGGATATCTCAAAAATAAGGCAAGATGTAATATTTCAAAGCAAATTCACATACTAGGCCAGAGGTCAGCAAACTTCTCCATTAAGACACAAATGGTAAATATTTCAGGCTCTGCCATCATATGGTCTCTGTCACAACTACTTAACGCTGCCATTGTAGTACAAAAGCAGCCATGGACAATACACGAACAAGTGGGTATAGCTGTGCTCCAATAAAGCTTTATTTATAAAAATAGGCAGCAGGGCCAAATTTGGCCCATGGGCTACAGTTTGCTGCTCCCTGTTCTAGACAAATACAATCAACAACTCTCTTTACCCAACCAATCAACTATAAAATGTTAATCACCAATGACACTCTTAGCAAATGATGTGCGCATTAAGGTAGCGAGGCCTAGGTCACCAATCTTCACAGATCCAGTAGGTCCCGTGATGAAAATATTGTCACACTTGAGATCCCGGTGAATAATAGGAGGAGTCCTAGTGTGCAAGAACTGCAACCCCTTTAAAATTTGCCTGCACCAGCTCCTTAGGACCTTTGGTTTCATGACTTTAAATCGTTTTAAGTACCTATATAAAGAAACAAAAGACCACATGTTAATAAACATACCTAACTTACTATATGAGCAGTATTAGGGTAAATCACGTAAGCTAGCAGATATTGTATATGCCATACTACTATTACCATCACTAAGTTGTTGGGGTTTTTTATCTGTTTCTTTTAAATATGTATTTTTTTATTTCAGAGAGGAAAGGATAGGAAGAGAGATAGAATCATCACTGATGAGAGAGAATCATTGATTGGCTGCCTCCTGCATGGGGATTGAGCCCACAACCTGGGCATGTGCCCTGCCTGGGAATCAAACCATGATCTCCTGCATTCATAGGTCAATGCTCAACCACTTAGCCATGCTGGCTGGGCATTAAGTTGTTTTTTATTAGAAAATGTTATGAAGAAAATTCTAAATCTAAGGCCTCATTCTTAGAAAAGACATCCTACCAAGTTTAGTATTTTGAATTCAAAACAAGAATCATTCCAAATAGAGTGGCCTTTTGTGAAATGGCAGCACAATTTTAAAAAGAAAGTCCATCTCACCCTAGCTGGTTTGGCTCAGTGGATAAAGTTTTGGCCTGTGGACTGAAGGGTCCCAGGTTTGATTCCAGTCAAGGGCACATGCCAGGGTTGCAGGCTCGATCCCCAGTAGGGGGTGTGCAGGAGGCAGCTGATCAATGATTCTCATCATTGATGTTTCTCTCTCCCTCTCCCTTCCTCTCTAAAATCAATAAAAAATATATTTTTTTAAAAAAGTCCACCTCTACTTCTTAATAACTGCTTATATAGATCACTAGAGGCTTTAACTATGTAAAATTTTAGTGTAAGGATGCTAGGAAACAGAAAGTGTACCCCACATTTAATAGCTACAAATAAGTGATTAAACCATCAAATGAAACACTAGTCAGAAACAAAGCAATGGACTATAATCACATAGTATATAGCTCACTAGCTATGTGAACCTGACCACACCCCTAACTTTTCAGTATCTTTTACACAACATTATATTATCTCTATGATTTCTAATTCTAAACTCCTATGCTATCCCACAAATAATAATTTCACAACACTATTTTCTAACAACATTCATTAACATCATAATTTTTAACCTGCTCTGAAACATAGTCTCTAGATTCAGATTCTACAAATTCTTTAATCAATTACTGTTATTTTTTTTTTTAAGAAAAAGGAGTTACTTTTTATTTTATTATTTTTAAATATATTTGTATTCGTTT